ATGCTTTTTCTGCATCTATTGAGATGATATGGTTATTGTCTTTTATTATATTGATATGCTGTATTACAGTAATTTATTTTTAAATGCTAAATCAATCTTGCATCCATGGAATAAATCCCACTTGGTTATGGCGTGCAATCCTTTTTTGTTACTGGACTTAGTTTTCTAATACTTTATGAATGGTTTTTCCATCTGTATTCATAATGGATATTATTCTGTAGTTTCTTACAATGTCTTTCTCTAGCTTTGGTGTCAAGGTAATGCTGGCTTCACAAAATGAGTTGGGAAGTAATTTTCTGAGTAAGTTTATGAAGAATTGATATCATTGCATTTTCAAATATGTGATAGATTTCACCAATGAAGGAATTTATCCCTCAGCATTTCTTTAGGGAAAGATTTTAAATTACTAATTCAATATTCTTTGTTTTTAGATTTGTTTGAGAAAGAGAAAGAGAGCACGCACACGCAAGTGTGTGTGGGGGGGGGCGGGGAGGGGCAGAGGGAGAGAGAGAAACTCAAGCAGACTCCCTGGTCAGCATGGAGCTTGATGCAGGGCTCAATCTCATGACCCTGAGATCATGACCTGAGCCGAAATCAAGAGTCGGACGCTTAACCAACTGAGCCACCCAGGCGTCCCATTTAATTCCATATCTTTTTAAATTAAGTATAACTAACATACAGTGTTATATTAGTTTAAGGTGTATGATATAATGATTCAACAATTCCAAGTATTTCTCAGTGCTCAGCAAGTTAAGTGTACTCTTAATCCCCTTTATTTCATCCATCCTCCCCCACCCCGGTCTGCTCTGGCAATAACCAGGTTGTTCTCTGTATTTATAGGTCTAATTATGCTTTTTGTTTGTTTATTCATTTCTTTTTAGATTTCACATATAAGTGAAATCATAGGTATTTGTCTTTCTCAGACTTATTTCATGCAGATTTATATCCTCTAGGTCCATCCATGCTGTTGCACATGGCAAGATTTCATTCTTTTTAAAGGCTGAGTACTGTTCCATTGTATATACATACTACATCTGCTTTATCTACTCATCTATGGACGCACACTTAGACTGCTTCAATAGCTTGGCTATTACAAATAGTGCAGTGATAAGTATAGGCGTGCATATATCTTTTCAAATTAACGTTTTTGTTTTATTTGGATAAATACCCAAATAGTGGAATCACTGGATTAGATGATGATTCCATTTTTACTTTTTGAGGACCTGTCATACTGTTTTCCACAGACGCTTCATCAATTTGCATTCCCACCAACAATGCATGAGGGTTCCTTTATTCTCCACATCCTCACCAACACTTGTTATTTCTTGTCTTTTTGATTTTAGCCATTCTGACAGGTGTAAAGTAATAGCAGATTGTGGTTTTAATTTGCCTTTCTCTGATGCTTAGTGATGTTGAGCATCTTTTCAAGTGTCTGTTGACAATCTGTGTCTTCTTTCGGAAAAAAATATTTATTAAGGTCCTCTGCTGTTTGATTGGATTTTTTCCTCAGTGTTGAGTTGTATAACTTCATTACATATTTTGGATATTAACCCCTTAATGGATAAATCATTTGCAAATATAAATATAAATATAAATATAAATATATATATATATATATATGTTTTTGGTTGATGGTTTCCTTCGTGGGACAATAGCTTGTTATTTTGGTGTGGTCCCAATAGTTTAATTTTACTTTTGTTTCCTTTGCTGGAGGAGACACATCCAGAAAAATGTTTCTACAGCTGATGTGAAAAAATTACTGTATGTTTTCTACTAGAATTTTTATGGTTTCTGGTCTCACATTTAGGCCTTTCATCCCTTTTGAGTTTATTGTTGTGTATGCTGTAAGAAAGTAGTCCAGTTTCATTCTTTTGCATGTTGTTGTCCAGTTTTCCCGCATCATTTCTTGGAAAGACTGTCTTTTCCCCCTGCGTATTCTTGCCTCCTTTGTAATAGATTAATTGACCATATAAGCATGGGTTTATTTCTGGGCTCTCTATTCTGTTCCATTGATCTCTGTGAATATTTTTGTGCCAGTACCATAGTGTTTTGATTATTACAGCTTTGAAGTATAGCTTGAAATCTGGGATTGTGATACCTCCAGCTTTGTTCTTCTTTTTCAAGACTGCTTTGGCTATTTGGGGTCTTTGGTGGTTCCATACGAATTTTAGGGTTATTTGTTCTAGTTCTAGTGAAAAATGTTGTTGGTATTTTGATAGGGATTGCATTAAATCTGTAGATTACTTTGGGTAGTATGGACATTTTAACAATATATGTTCTTCCAATGCATAAGCATTGAATATCTTTCCATTAGCTTATGTCCTCTCCAGGTTCTTTCATCACTGTTTATGTAAGTTTTCAGAGTATAGGTCTTTCACCTTCTTGGTTAAGTTTATTTCTATGTATTTTATTCTTTTTGGTGCAACTGCAAATGGGATCATTTTCTTAATTTCTCTTTTTGCTACTCCATTATTAGTGTACAGAAATGCAACAGATTTCTGTGTATTAATTTTATATCTTGGGACTTTACTGAACTCATTTAGCAGTTCTAATAGTTTTTTGGTGGAGTCTTTAGGGTTTTCTATATACAGTACCATGTCATTTGCAAATAGTGCAAATTTTACTTCTTCCTTACCAATTTGGATGCCTTCTGTTTCTTTATGTTGTCTGATTGCTGTGGCTAGGACTTCCAGTACTATGTTGAATAAAAGTAGTGGGAGTGGACATCCTTGTCTTGTTCTTGATCTTGGAGGAAAAGTTCTCAGGCTGATGTTAGCTCTAAGTTTTTTCATATATGGCCTTTATGTTGAGATATGTTCCCTCTAACCCCCCTTAGTTCAGAGTTTTTATTATGAATGGATATTGTACTTTGTCAAATGCTTTTTCTGCATCTACTGAGATGATATTTTTTTCCTTTCTCTTGTAAATGTGATATATCATGATAATTGATTTGTGAATACTGAACCACCCTTGCATCCCTGGAATAAATCCCACTTGATGGTGGTGAAAGATTTTTATTTATTTTTTAATATTTTATTTATTTATTTGACAGAGAGAGAGACAGCAAGAGAGGGAACACAAGCAGGGAGAGTGGGAGAGGGAGAAGCAGGCTTCCTGCCCAGGAGGGAGCCCGATGCGGGGCTTGATCCCAGGACCCTGGGATCATGACCTGAGCTGAAAGCAGACTCTTAATGACCGAGCCACCCAGGCGCCCCGCAGATGATTTTTTAAATGTATTGCTGGATTCAGTTTACTAATACTTTATTGAGGATTTCTGCATCTATGTTCAGCAGAGATATTGGCCTACAGTTTTATTTCTTTATCATGTCTTTATCTGGTTTTGATATCAGCATAATGCTGGCCTTACAGAATGAATCTGAAAGTTTTCCTCCTCTTCTATTTTTTGGAAATTTTGAGATCAATAGGTATTAACCCTTCTTTAAATATTTGGTAGAATTCATCTGTGAAGCCATCTGGTCCTGGACTTTTGTTTGTTGGGAGTTTTTTGATTACTGATTCAACTTCATTGCCACTAAATGGTCTATTCAAATCTTCTATTTTTTCCCGATACAGTTTTAGTGTTGAAGTCCTTTAACTTTTGCTTATCTAGGAAACTCTTTACCTCTTTTTCAATCCTGAATAACTTTGCCAGGTATTCTTGGTTGGAGTTTGTTGTTGTTGTTGTTGTTGTTGTTGTTTTCCTTTCAGCACTTTGAATATATCATGCCACTTCCTTCTGACCTGGAAAGTTTCTGATAAAAACTCAGGTGATAGCCTCATGGTGTTTCCCTTGTATTTCAGTATTTTCTCTTGCTGCTTTTTAAAATTCTGTCTTTATCACTATTTTTTGCCATTTTAATTATTATGTGTCTTGATGTGGACCTCCTTGGGTTGATTTTATTGGAGACTCTCTGTGCCTTTTGTATTTGGATGTGTGTTTCCTTGCCCAGATTGGGTAAGCTTTCAGCTATTATTTCTTTAAATAAGTTTCCTGCCCCCTCTTCTCTCTCTTTTTCTTCTGGGATCCCTATAATGTAAATGTTATCATGCTTAATGATAGTGCTGAGTTCCCATAAGCTATTTATTCTCATTTTGTATTATTCTTTTTTCTTTTTGCTGTTCAGCTTGAATGCTTTCCATTACCCTGTCTTCCAGATTGTTGATTTGTTCTTCTGCATATTCTAATTTGCTGTTGATTCCCTCTAGTGCATTTTTAATGTCAGTTATTGAGTTCTCTAGGATCAGGAACAGTTTGATAACATTGGAATTAGCTGTTCTTCAAAGGTTGAACAAAAGTAAGCTTTGAAACCATTCAATCTTATAGCCCTCCTCCACCCCTGCTTTCTGTGGTGGATTTAAAAAATACTTCCCAGGTTTCTTTACTCTAGTAAATAACATTGAGTTTGAGAACTAAGTTTCCTGGCTTGCTTCGGAAAATTACATTAATGTCATTTAACATGTGTGTTATATCTTTCTCCTAAGGAGTTCAAATTGCATTACAGCAATTACAGAAATCAGAATCAAGATATTAGAACTGGAAGGAACCTGAAAAATAATCTAACTCAACCATCTAATTTCATAAATGAGTTCACATAAACATTAATTTTCATATAATTTAGTTTCAGTTAGGAAGGTAGTTTATTAGGGGTAACTTCAGACGTAGAAATGTTCATATAAGCTAAACAGTCAGCTAAGTCTAGTAATATTTGGTTTAGGAAATGTTGGGATCTTTCACTTTCCAGGTTTAGATTAAATGATGTGAAGCCAGGAACTGAAATTCCCAACAGGTATTTTTTTAGTGAAAATCTTCACTCATTATCCCGATTACCAGTTAACTTTTCTAAGTCATTCTTTCGTTGTTTTTATATATTGAATGTGAAGACTAATAGGAATGGATTATCCTGTATCTTTACTTTATTCTCACCTAAAAGTGGAAAGGTTTAGAACAAGACTGTGCCCGTTCCTCATGATCATTAGACTTTCTTCCACATCCAACTTACCAAGTCTTTGTCCAAAGCCCCAGGGACAGACTTGCTTCTTATGTTTGCAGTATTGTCTAAGTCTTCTGGAAAGGACCCACTCAGATCTAACTCAGATCGACTCCGGTCTGGAGGAGTGAAGAGAGAGGAGAGATATGAATCAGCTTATTTTGTTAGAAGATTTCAGTTTTCATTGCAAATGTTTTATCTTTATTCCCATTCTTTCTAGGCACAGGGCCTAGGGTGTCATGAAAGCAACAGTCAGAGTCAATAACTTCATGCCGTTTGTACTAACGTGTTTCTCTTTTTTCTTAAAGTGTTTTCAAATTTTCTTGAATTGCATTACCAACAGTGATGTGTTCATTTCATCTTTGATTAAAGGAAGCTAAATGTTCTATTGTAAAATGCAAATTTTTAAACTAAGTTTCCTGTTTTTCTCATAGACTGAAAAACTCTCATTGAATGGGGCCTTAAAATATAATGAGCCCATAGAAAAAAATAAAGCGTGAATCATTCTTGATTTATATACTTAGAGAATTCACTGTGTTTTCATATCTGACATAAAATGCTATTAAATGACATAGCAGGGCGCCTGGGTGGCTCAGTTGGTTAAGCGACTGCCTTCGGCTCAGGTCATGATCCTGGAGTCCCCGGATCGAGTCCCACATCGGGCTCCCTGCTCAGCAGGGAGTCTGCCTCTCCCTCTGACCCTCTTCCCTCTCGTGCTCTCTATCTCTCATTCTCTAATAAATAAATAAAATCTTTAAAAAAATAAAAAAATAAATGACATAGCAACTTTCTTTCATATGAAAAGGGAGTGGCTACAGGTAAACTGAGAAGAAGTTCTATTTCTTTGGGCACCAGAACATTCTTTCATCAGAGGAACATCTTGCTTTAAAAAAAATATATAATTTGAAGAACAATGCACAACTCAGTCATGCTGTGGACAACTTACTAAGACACAGGTTACTTACACAGAACAGTTCTATATCAAAGTCCTGCTGAGATCTCGTTGCTCATAATGAGAAAGATTAAAGAGAGCAATCACATACTTGAGTTTGAAATGGTAAATTAAATAATGCAGAAGTGCTTAGGACAGTGCCTGACACAGAGTATGTACTCAATAAACAGGAGCTGTTGACTAGAAGTAGTAGCAAAACGATCTATGAGGTGGGCTTCTATATTAGTTTAAAATTTTTCTTTTAACAGGAGAACCAATCTTGTCATCCTGAACAAAATGCAACAATAACTACATATATTCAGAAAATGCTTTGGGAGTTTCCTGACTAGAAAGACTCCCCAACTCAGCATACAGAATCCAGCCTCAGGCTTTATGCAAATATCATCGTTAGGTAAGTTAGCTTTCTCTTCTTGAGGATTTTGTCATGATTTTAATTCTACACAGGGGACATAAGCTTCCTAACTATGGCAAATTTCTCTAAAGAATTTTCTTATTTATAGGTAATAAAATGACAACACAAATAATACCTGCTTCCCAGGGTTGTTGTGATGAAGAAGTGAAATGATATACCGTATCTGAATGTACCATACAAACGAAAAGGGTTGTTATTAATACCTTAATGCTGCTTGCAAATAACTTTCTATTTAAACCACAGGATAATTAATCTGTCTAGATATAGGGCATTTATGACCACCATGTCAAATGAACCATCATTTCCCTGAATTCTGGGAAAGCACCTGTATCTTTCCATCAAATGAACCAACACTCCTACACTCCTGTACTGGCATCTGGTATAGCTCTGAAAAGTGGCAGTGATGACTGACAAGTGTATACACTTAATAAATGGATTTTGCACGAATGCAAGAGGCTCAGGGCATTACCTGGGTCCACATTTAAGCTGTTCTTATGGAACGGGCCTACATGATGGGTCAAAGAACAAACGGTTATTTTCTAAAACATGGAACATTCATTTAATGTCACACAAGGCAGTTAATTTGAAACGATTTAGTCTTTTTTTTTTTTTTTTTAAAGAGTAATCATGCTGTAAATACCTACCTGAGGAGAGGGAGATCTCAGACACCGCTATGGAAGGTGTACCAGAAACGTTTCTGCGATGACTCTTTGTGAGGTCCTCACACGTGCTTTCAATGGCAGCCAAATCCACGGAATTTTCAAAACCGCGTTCCTTCTCACAAAGTAAAAATGAAAAAAAAAATTATAATGACTGTAATTTACTTTAAAAGGCTCCCATATGAATATACTTCAGTATAACCATATTCGCATTGTATTTCTCTTTAGGAGGAGCTAGTTGACATTTGGGGGGGATCCTCATCAGGAGTCCATATAACTCTAAAGTTTACTATCAGTAATTGCTCTATAAAACCTATCCCAAGAGGTTTGTTAAGTAGCACAAAAGTTCAAAATAATTCTTCATTCACAAAATCGTGTGTGTTCTAATACATGGTTGGCAAGAAAGATGATATAAGTACCTCCAATCTTACATGAACTATATATAAGAATCTGGCTAGCTTCACATCCCCAGAGTAATACTCAAGCTTAGTACTCTGTTTGGTCCTGTGTTTATTCCCACTCTCCACACCCTGTTTCCTCAACCACCCCCTACCTCCTCTACCCCCATTTAACAGAAGACCATGATCCACATCCAGGTTAACACATGGCATAGAAGGGCCCCCAGGATACTGCCCCAGCCTTGGGCCAGAGTCCGGCTGATTGCTCAGTGCCTCAGCCATATCAGTTACTAAATATTTTGAATATCATTCCTTGTTCGGTTGCCAAGAAGTAAGGGGAATCATCAACTACCCATGCACTTTTCTGGCTACTGAACAGTAAGTACTGCTTGCTGAGCTTAGGATAAATATTTACGAAATTTTAAATATGCCTTTTACCTTATCAGCAAGTACAATTCAGACTGTAAGTATTGAAAGAAATCTTCTATTATTATTCAATCTGTGTGAATGCCTTTTGGCTTTTCCTTAAAAATATTTATAGAATCTGACTGTTCATAGCCTCTGCTTTTTTTTTTAAGTTCGTGATTTATATTTCTGAAGTTGCATTATAGGAAGAGTTGATATTTCAAATAAATATTTAGTTTTTATATTCAGTATTTAGATATTGACTAGTTTTATTGAAGTTCACATAGTATATTAGGTTCAGGTAGATAACACAGTGATTCAACAATTGTATACAGTATGCAATGCTCACCGCAATAAGTGTAGTCACCATCTGTCACCATACAATGTTATTACAATATTATTGACTCTATTCCCTATCCTCTACTTTTCATCTCCACCACTTATTTATTTTATAACTGGAAGTTTGTACGTCTTAACCCCCTTCACCTATTTCACCCATCCCTCATTCCCCTCTCCTCTGGCAACCACCCCTCTGTTCCCTAATATACAATGGTCTGTTTCTGGTTTTGTCCCAGTTTGTTCATTTATTTTGATTTTTATATTCCACATGTAAGTGAAGTTATATGGTATTTGTCTTTCTCTGTCTGACTTACTTCCCTTAGCATAATACCCTCTAAGTCCATCTAGTGTTGTCACAAATGCTATGATCTCAGTCTTTTTTATGGCTAAGCAATATTCCATTGTGTGTGTGTGTGTGTGTGTGTGTGTGTGTGTGTGTGTGTACACACAACATCTTCTTTATCCATTCATCTATCAGTGGACATTGGGGTCGCTTCCATATCTTGGCTATTGTAAATAATGATACAATATACATAGGGGTGCAGATATCTTCTTGAATTTAGTGTTTTGGTTTTCTTTGGGTAAATACCCAGTAGTGGAATTACTGGATCATATGGTAGTTCTACTCTTAATTTTTTTGAGAAACCTCCATAACGTTTTCCACAATGGTTGTACCGATTCGTATTCCCACCAACAGTGCACAGCATTCACAACCTCCCCTTCTATCTCCTTGTTCCAAAGCCTAGTTTCTCACCTGCAGTAAGACAATGGCATCCTAACTGGCCTCCTGGCTTCTCCACTGGTTCCCCTACAAATGCTTCTCAGCACAGCCCCCAGGTCCCGTGTAAAGAGAAGCCACATCCTCTGCCCATTTTTCAATTGGATTTTTTGGTTTTTGGGTGTTGAGTTGTATAAGTTCTTTATATATTTTGGATTAAGGAGTGCACTTATCATGATGAGCACTGGGTGATGATTGGAACTGTTGAATCACTATATTGTACACCTGAAACTAATATTACACTGTATGTTAACTATACTGGAGTTAAAAAAAAAAACAACTTAATAAAAACAGAAAAACAAAAAAATGACCAAAAAGAAAAGCCACACTTGCTCAAAACCCTCCAACTGTCCTCACCTTATTCCAACTATATGTCAAAATGCACACAGCAGTCTGGCCCCGTTACCCCTCTGGGCTCACTTCCTAGTCCTCCTCCCTTTATTCACTCGCAACAGCCATACTGGCCTTCTTGCTCTTCCTTGAACATACCAGGCATGTTCCCACTTCAGAGTCTTAGCGCTGGCTGTTTCTCCAGGGGCATTAAAAATATTTTAGATGCTGGTTGAACAAGGGCACTAACCACCGAAGACAGAGACCAGCCGTAAGTAACTGGAACAGCTTTCCCTGTATGTGTACCTGCTAAATATCAGTGCTGTCCCTGCCCAAAGGGGCACCTTGCTACAGACTCCTGCATGGCTAATTCTTTCACTTACTACAATCTTTGCCTGACCAGGACCAAGATTTCTTAAATATAGATGTCGGCTACATGTATGGAGTTTCCTGCCTAACCAAAAAATCTAGATGCTCATTCGTTCAAAAGAACAACTTCCACGTTCATATATATTTTATGTATAATGCAATTTAAGTCTTTGTTATGTGTTGATCCCGAATTTTAGCAGTTTTATAGAACGAAAAACTATTAAAAAATTCCAAGACTCTACTTTTCCTGATTTAAACCAGTCTGGAAAATGTCTAGTCCAGTCAGCTTCTGAACATCTTGACAAATAACATGGAGGATCAAAAGCGGAGACTTCTAAACGTGATTTCTGTTTTGTTTAAACCATATAACCACCACCTTTGAACCTGCTCCTTCCCTTTGCTTCACACTTCTGGCTTCCCACCAGGAGCTAAGGATATAGGAGGTTCAGTCCTGAAAAAGACGTTTGTACAACTAAATAGCATAAATAGCATGCTTCGAGATACAGAGAACTCAAACCCAACCAGGCCATGATGGTGAGGTCAGGTCTCAGAAGCTGGGGGTCCTTTCCCATTTGGGTACTTACTCTAATGCTGACTGAGGTCACACTGTGCGTGCTTGGGGCTGGTGACCTCTGAGTGACGGGGGTCACACCACTGCTCCGGCTACTCTTCGGGGTTGCGGGGCCAGCTTCCTGGTCATTCAGATCTGATGAACCAGTGCTTCCCCTAAATGAGAGAAAGAATATTCTGACTTTAACAAGGTGAGCAGCTACCATGTCGCTCTCTTCCTCGAAGACTCACTCACTAGGTTCAAGCCCATCTGTCTGACTCCAGCGTTTTTGTAATTGAGCTTGGCTCTACCTTTCCACCTTTATTTCCCACTCTTCACCAGCATTCTCTCAGCCCGGACAGGGTCCTTGCTGTCCTCTCAACTCACCACACTCGTGGCTCTTGGCTTCGGCATCTACCTCTAAGGCTTTTGCTCACATTCTCTCCCTCTGGTATGCTCTGTTTGCCACTCCCTGTTTATGCAAATCTTCCCTACCTTTCAGGGCCCAGCTGAAGTCCAGCCTCCGCCATCAGGACTTTCCTGACATTTGCAAGCCTTGTCAACCTCTGCTCTGCTCAATTCTTATTGACTTACAGTCTTTGCCAAACTGTGCAGTCCTTGACTACAGGATGTCTTATTTGGCTCCTCAAGTGATCCACCTACGTGGGCCTTGGTTCTTCTTTCAACCTAAACTCCCTGGGGACAGAGTTCATATTTACCATGATATCTCCACTACCTTCATAATGCCTTGGTGCAAAGGAGGCACTCAGTACATATTTAATCAAAGAGCGGAAATTATGTTGTATTTCTCTGTGTTGTTTCAGGGTCTGACTCATGGTGCACATTTAATAAATGTGGTATAAAAATACTGACATTTGGTAAATGGGCTTGACTCACTTTGTTTGCTAAAACTGATTCAATTCCATTCAATAATGATTAATAAAAAAAATAGTTCTTGCCTTTGAGGTGAACACAATTTTCTCATTACATGGAGTTTCATAAGTGTAAGTGTTGATAAAATAGAGTTTAAGAGAAGTGCTTGTTCTATTTTATTCTTTATCCTTGGTGAGCACAAAATACACTAAGTGGTAAAATAAAAGCCTTTGTGAATTTCCCTCTTCTATTTATTATTTAGTAAGTTATAAGTGCCTCTATAATAATAAACATTTTACTGTTTAAAGCCTCGCAGTGATAGTTAATAGTGATTAGAACAGTCAAGGCAATCAAAAAAGATATGCAAAAGAACAGAGAAAGGGTGTTTGTTTGTTTGTTTTTTTAAAGAATGTCTGACTGTGCATGTGACATTACTGGAAGACAAATCTGGCAGGAGAAAGAGCTGGCATTGATCACCGCAGCTATCAACTACAGCTCATAAGTTTTTCAAGACTGTGTGCCAGAGAAGCCACTAAAAGCAAATCAAATATGCCCTGACTGATACAACTAGTTACCACTACCCTCCATAATTATGCAAATAGAAGCTAACATTTACTGAGGATTTTCTAGGCGTTTGACACTCTCTATTCTCCAAATTCCCTGTTAAAAAATACCAATAGTCTTCTTTTAAAGATGAGAAAACTGAGTCTTGGAGAGGTGAAGCAATTATTCCATAAATGCACACACGTGTCCGTGTCCACACACAACACACACCACCACTACCCACGCTCTCACACAGTTAGTATGTAGTAAAGTCAGGATAAAAACTGAGACCTGCCTGCTTACCCAAAGCTTGTGCTCATTCCAGTTGCTCATACTGCTTACTCAGCATTTCACCAAGATCAAATTGATACAACCAGGCAGGTTCTACATTGATAGAAGGAGCTATCAAGCAGAAAATAATCCAAGGATCAGAGAGCTGGGAGTTAGTTTCTTGGAATCTGATTAAGAGAACTAAAAATTCTCTGGGTAGCATTCTTTGCTTCATTTCTTTGGGAGAGAGAGACAGAGAGCATGAGAAGGGGGAGTGGCAGAGGGAGAAGCAGACTCCCCGCTGAGCAAGGAGCCCGATATGGGACTCGATCCCAGGACCCCGGGATCATGAACTGAGCCAAAGGCAGATGCTTAACTGACTGAGCCACCCAGGCACCCCTAGGTAGCAGTCTCTGGCTTCTTCTTCTAGAGATGGCCCTCTGAATTAACTGTAGATTGCTCAGGAGGGGTCTAGGACTGTGTCTTGATTCTGATCACAAGAGAATGTAAAGTTTTGTGATCAAATAAATTGATATAATTTGCAATTATAAGTTCCTTGGTAAATTTCCTGAGCCCTCCTCCCTCAGGGGCTACACTTCTACACTTGACAACAGTTAAACCATCCAAGTGATTTTGCTCATCTTAGAAGTCCTACGTAGAAAGGTTTTAGAGACCTACCCAGTAATGCTGTGCTATGACAGGAGGTTCTCTACTCTCAGAACAACGTTACCACAAAAATCTCTCTCCCTACTATTTTAGGTAAAATCTCCCTGAAAAAAGGAAAGGATAGACATGAATCTCTCAGAAATGAGCCAAGAAGTTATGATCCAAAGGGACCCATGTAGATACAGCTGCTTGTGCCTGTCCTAAAGTTTTCCTTGACCCAGGTGGTTTTGAAAAAGTCCACATCATGGATCGGCTTTGCTGGAACCAAAAGTCCTACTTATGTAGAAGCTCTGGCAGAAGCTGATTAATTGTGGTGATGACATTCAAAAGGCTATCCTGTAATAAGAAAAAAAATCTTACGGCTATAAGTCAGCTATTGGAAATTGTTGCCGGAATCATTATCTCAAAAATGACATAGAATTTCACATTTGTCCCTGACATTTACTGTGAGCTTCTCAAAAATATTTTCCTCTCAGCTGGTTGTTTCAGTTTGTTAGACTAAAAAAATTTAGCCTAATGAGGCAGAATATCATAAATATTTGGATGCCAACTCTTTTAGATGTTATATAAAATATGACATGAAATACATACATCTTTGCCACTTAAATAGGAGGAGGATAAAGCCTTCCTCAAGTCTAAATTCAAGAAGTTTAAATGTCAATTAAGAAAGAGGCTACTTTTTGGGCAGAGGCCCTGAACAGACATCTTCCCAAAGAAGACAACCAGATGGCCAACAGACACATGAAAAGATGCTCACCATCACTCATCCTCAGGGAAACGGCACATCAAAACCACAATGAGATCTCACCTCACATCTGTCAGAACTGCTAGAATCAAAAAGACAAGAAATAGCAAGAGTTGGCCAGGATTGTGGAGAAAAGGGAACCCTCGTGCACTGTTGGTGAAATGTAAATTGGTGCAGCCACCGTGGAAAATAGTATGGAGGTTCCTCAAAAAATTAAAAGCTGAACCACCATATGATCCAGTGATTCCACTACTGGGTATTTACCCAAAGAAAACCAAAACACTAATTCAAAAAGACATATGCACCCTTATGTGTACTGCAGCATTATTTACAATAGCCAAGACATGGAAGCAGCCCCAGTGACCACTGGCAGATGAATGGATAAAAAAGATGTGTTAATACTAATAGTCTTCATAATTTGAGAGGCTTTCGCATCTAAACGAGAGGTAGAGGCGGTTGAGTTAACATCGACTAATATGGAATGACTTCACGGATGTCCTCCTCCCTATCCCACACAATGGGATATTATTCAGCCATAGAAAAGAATGAGCTCTTGTCATTTGTGACAACAGAGATGGACCTAGAGGGTATAATGCTCAGTGAAATAAGTCAATCAGAAAAACAAAAATACCGTGTGACTTCAGTCCTATGTGGAATCTAAAAAACAAAGGAATAAACAACAACAACAAAAAGTAGAATCAGACCTATAAATACAGAAAACAAACTGGTGGTTGGAAGGGAGGGGATGGGCAAAATGAGTGGAGAGTGGGAGATAAAGGCTTCCAGGTAGAGAGTGAGGAAGTCACGGGAGTAAAAGGTGCAGCATAGGGAGTACTGTCAACGGTACTGTAACAAGTGTTGTGTGGTGACAGGTGGGAGCTACCGCTCCAGTGAGCACAGCATAACGGAGAGAGGGGTTGAATCACTGTTGCACGCCTAAAACTAACGCAGGGGAGAGGGGCAGAGGCAGAGGGAGAAGCAGGCTCCCCGCGGAGCAGGGAGCCCGATGTGGGACTCGATCCCAGGACCCTGGGATCATGACCTGAGCCGAAGGCAGACGCTGAACCAACTGAGCCACCCAGGCATCCCTGAAAGAGCTATTTTTGATTCAGATATCATGTTGATACTTAAAGTGTAAGTATTAGAAATCAGTGTCAACAAAACTTCAAGCTAAAATTTACTTAAATAGAAACTGACAAGAAAGAGATGCTATTTTTCCTGTTCCAATAGGGCCCAAAATGTGGGGACAGGACATTGCCTAGGGAGCTGGGATATTCCAGGTTACTTGAAAGACAAGTTTCCTAGAGAAGGAAACAGTTTCATTTACTTTAGCTTATGACATATACTTTAAAAGTCTTCCATTTTGTTATCTCTAATCTCATGCTGGCCCCAAATCTTGATAATGGCTTTCTAGATATATCTATTTTTATTCATTCATTCATTCATTCCTTCCTTCATTTATTTATAGATTGTATTTATTTATTTGAGAGAGAGAGAGAGGGAGGGAGAGGGAATGAGTAGGGGGAGGGGCAGAGGGAGGAGAGAGAAGCCGACTTCCCACTGAACAGGGAGTCTGACACAGGGCTGGATCCCAGGACCCTGAGATCATGACCCGAGCTGAAGTCAGATGCTTAACCGACTGAGCCACCCAGGTGCTCCTAGATAAACCTGTTTTTAGTTAAAGGACCTGAGGATAGGGGAGAGAGACTATAATTTAATGAGTTGCCTTTGTGGATTATGTAACTGTCTCCCAGGAGTTGTAGTCTGAAAAGCATTTCCCAGGATGCAACCTTCCCGGAGTGGGCTGACAATGTTGAGTCTGTGCCTGCATGGTTAAATGAGTACTCCCCTAAGGAAGATCAACCAAAAAGCAGCATTAATCTGAGAAACACTAACATTCACTGCTAGTGCATATCATGACACAGAGACTGCACAATATTCTTTCTGTGGTTTATGTGCTCTCCTACCTTTTTTTTTTTTTCAGTTAATCAGATCTGAAATGGATATGTAAGCAGAGCAAGGGAGGTGGCAGTTAGAAAGTGAGGTGATCCCATTAAATGGGAAAGAGATGTTAAAAAT